TCGTTCTCTTCGTTCTCCTCGTTTTCGTTCTCTTCTATCTTTACGTTTTCGTTTTCTTCTATCTTTTCGTTTTCGTTCTCTTCGTTCTCCTCGTTTTCGTTCTCTTCTCTCTTCTCGTTTTCGTTTTCTTCTTTCTTCTTGTCGTCATTCTCTTCTATCTTTTCCTATTCGTTCTCTTCTTTCTTCTTGCCGTCGTTCTCTTCTATTTTTACGTTTTCGTTGTTTTCGTTCTCTTCGAACTTCATGTTTTCGTTTTCTTCTTTCTTCTCATTGTCCTTTTACTCTTTCTCGTTTTTTTCTTTTATCTCGTTTTCGTTCTCTTCTTTCTTCTCGTCGTCGTCGTTCTTCATCCTCGTCTTTGTTCTTGTCTTCCTCCTCGTTCTCCTCTTCGTTCTTCTCTTTTTCAGCTCCGGAACTACAACCAACGACAATTTTTTTTTTTAAATTTTATTTTATTTTTTTTCTTTTCTCCAGGTTTTTAGCAAACAGGCAAAAACGTCAGAGTCTCGCATTGAACGCCGTACAAACGGAACAAAAAGCAAGCAAAGTACTCGGAGTCGTTTTTTTCACATTCGTTCTATGTTGGACTCCATTTTTCATATTAAACATAATATTTGCCGCATGTCCCGATTGTCACGTACCGAGTCACGTTGTCGACACGTGTTTGTGGCTCGGTTACGTCAGTTCAACTATAAATCCAATAATATACACAATTTTTAATAAAACTTTTCGTGCCGCATTTATAAGATTGTTAAAATGTCGCTGTTACAAAACTTCCAGACCTTCCAGGTAACACATTAATATTAATAATAATAATAATAATAATAATAAATTCACGTCACAAAAATCGACTTATTTTTTCCGAAAATTTTCCCCTTTTCCTTTTTTTTTTTTTTTAAAAATTAATTATGTCCGGGTCGTTTGTGTGTTTTTTTTTTTTCCTAATTCACACAACGAAAGTAATAAAAACAAAACAAAAGATTTGTAAAAAATAAAAAAAAAAAAAAAACGAACAAACAAACAAACAAACAAACGACTTTTTTTTTCTTTCTTTTCCTTCTTGCATATATATATATATATATATACTTTTCCTGATAAATAATTTATAATCCATTTTTTTTTTTTTTTTATGTTTTTTTGTTATAAAGAAAACAAACAAATTATTATTATTATTATTATTCATTAGAGAAAAGAAAAAAATAAAAGAAAAAGTCGGAGGGGGGGGGGTGATGAAAGTAAACGAATTCATAAACTTTTCTTTTTTTCTTCCTCTCCCCCCCCCTTTAAATTTTTTTCTTTTTCTTTTTTTTCTTTTTTTATTCTTCTTTACGAGTCTTAATTTTTTTTTTTTTTTCAAATAAGATTTTATGTAAAACTTTTCCGTTATTATTATTATTATTATTATTTGTTTGTTTGTTTGTTGTTATAAGTTAAGTACCAAGATACAAACACAAACACACACAAACGCATTCATTCAACAAAAAGAAAAAAAAAAAAAAAGGAAAGAAAAAGATTTGAAGAGTTCAAAAGGTTTAATTCTGAAAAGTTTTTTTTTTTTTTTTTTTACGTACGCATAAGTTGGCAAACCTGATTTTTTTATTACCGTTACCGTTCGAGTAAAAAAAATTATTATATTATTATTATTATTTTATAAGAATTCGTGCGCGTGTGTATGTGTGTGGGTGTAATTTAAAATTACGAAACCGGAAACGTAAAATTTTTTTTTTAAATGAAAATTTATAGTGTGACGTCATCCTAACCATCCGACATTTTTTTTAAAAAAAACCGGAAATGAATATTTATGAATTAAATAATTAAACGGAAAAGACGAAACCCCCCCCCCAAAAAAAAAAAAAAAAAAAAAAATTTTTTTTTTTTCAATTAGTCGTCGTAACAACGAAAAGAGGGAAAAAGTTTTTTTTTTAACTCGCGTAGTGATTCGTCGTGACGTCATCATCGTAACGGACAAACGTAATTAATTAATTAAATAAATAAATGATCGATTTCGATTACGATTACGATTGAGATTGCGATTGATTGATTGATTGATTGTTTTATAAATCGATTAAATTTAATATTGATCGGTGATAATTAAATATACGCGGTGAAATTATTATTATTAGTATGCTAGTGGGACGTTTGATAATAATAATTTTTTTTTTTTCAGGTTCAGGTCCGTAAACGATAATCGTAACATACTCCATCATCAGAATAGTTTAAATGCGACGACGGCGGGAGCTTCGGCACTACCGATATCATTGGCACAATTGAGCACCCCACTTTTAAATACCCCATCGAGCACGAGCAGCAGTTTTTTAGCCATTCGAACTCCTACGACTCCCGTAAACGCGTGTAAAATCGACGAAAACGATTATTAATTATCATTATTATCATCATTATTATTATTATTACTTTTTCCTTTTTTCCTTTAAAAGGTAAATAAATAAATAAATAAGGCGTCATTACTTTTTAACCCTGTTAAATTTCCTTTGAATCTCCGGCCTGTCGTGAGAGTGAAAAAAGAAAAAAAAAATTTGTTTTTAAATAAAAACGCGCGAAAACTATTCGGGGAATTTTTTTCCCTGCTTGGATTTTTTCCCTCCCCTCCCCTCCCATCCTTTCACCGATCGAATTCGAATTTTCCCTTTTCCCTAATTCTTCATATCTCTTTCCCGAATGATTTCTTTAACTTCGGTTTGGATCTATAAAGTTAAACTATTAATCGGGGGAAGAGGGTGGAAGGGGGGGGGTAACAACAGCTTTGATTTATGTAATAATAATAATAATAAATAAATAAATAAAAATTTTAAAGTCTTTTAAATGATAAAAATAATCTTTTCGACCCGAAAATAAAATTTTATTACACGAATAAAAAGTTTTTAATTTTTTTTTTTTTATTCCTATTCCACCCCCTTCCCCCTTCCCCCTCGTTCCCGTTTTTCCATTCACGCGCACGCGTTTTTTTTTTATAAATAAAAGTTAAGGGATATTTCTCGCGCCCGCCCCCTCCCCCCCTCCGTAACAATAATTTTATTATACGCGCCGCGAAAGAAAATTCAAGTGATAAAACGTCACAAACATGACATTTAAAATTCTTTCGCATTTCTAATCCCACGAACGTTTTATTTAAACACGTCTCCCGTTACTTTCGCCCCCCTTCCCCCTTTTTCCCTCTTTTTTTTTTTTTTTTTTTGAATTTTACGCCACGACGACGAACGCGTCACTCAAAACCAAAAAAAAGGCGTCGACGAGTATGACGACAAGGATGACGACAACGACAGCAACGTACGAAAAAAATTTTCATTATTATTATTATTATTATTATCATCAACACGACTACTACTACATTTTCAATTTTTTTCCTCTCGTACTATTTTTCCGGATTTTCTTTTAAAAATTTATCGAAAAAAAAAAAAAAAAAAAAAAAAAAAAAACGGAACGCTTTAAAGAGAGTTAATCAACCAGCAGCAGAAGACGAGATGGTTTTATTCCATAGAGAAAAGATAAAGTAAAATAAAAAAATTTTTTTACTCTATGAAATAAAAAAAATTATTAAAAAAAATAGTCATAATAATAATAATAATAATAATAAAAACTTTCCCGTATGATTTTTACAATACGCGCCCACGCACCCACGCTCGCACGATGATAATAATGATTTGATTCGCGCTACGGAATGAATTCCAGAGTGCGTGAGTGCGCGTGTGTTAAAAAAAAAAAAAATTTTTCTTTTAAATTAAAAAAATAAAATTTTAAAAGCTTATATTAATAATAATATTTATATAAATATACATACATACATATATATATATATATATTAATTGCACGCGGTAAGCATTTTTGTTTTTTTTTTGTTAATAATAATAATAATAATATTTTTTTAATTTTTTTAATCGATCGAATTTGACGCCGAAATTTGACCTTTGACCACCATCTCCTCCTCCTCCTCCTACTCCTTCTCCTCCATTGTTTTCTCTCTCTCTCTCTCTTTTTCCCTCGCGCAAACGCTCCGTCGTTTATTATATACCCCCCCCATTTCTCGGTCGGTTTTTTTTTTTTGTTTTCCTTATTAAGTACGGATAAAAAATCATCGTGTCGTCGCCCTACCCCTACTCCTACCCCGCCCCCTTGTTAAAATAATTTCGTAAACGCGAAACGTCAATCAAAGCTGCCCCCTTTTCGTTAAATTAATAGTAATGATAATAAAAAAATTGCGTTTCGTTTTCTTACGGCTTTTGCGTTAAAGTGCGTATGTCTGTGTGTATGTGTGCGTGTGCGCGAGCGAACGAGAGAAAAAAAAAAAAAAAAAAGATGCGTGGTGGAAGACGATTATGGACGGCTCACGCGGCCGATGAACAATACGGAATTTTTAACGCCGCCACGCAAAAAAAACAAAAATGGCGATTTCAAATGAACGTCAATCGGAGGCAACGGCATCATTCTCATGTTGAACTGAAAACCTGTTCGTCGCCCATACAGAAAAAAAAAAAAAAAACAGAAAAAAAGATAAAAAAAGAATTAATAACCAAAAAAAAAAAAAAGAAACAAAGGAAGAAAATATTAGTAATTAATAATAATAATAATAATAATAAGCGAAAATGGCCGACTTTTGCGCTCTTTCGCGCTCGAGTCGAATAGAAAAAAAAGAAAATTATTTTATTTTGTTAGTTAAACACATAAAAGAATAAGAAAAAGAAAAGTTAAGAAAAGTGAATCAAGTAACGTTTTTCCACTTCCCCTCCTACCCTCCCCTGGAAAACCTTTCATGCAACCTCATAGCCACGCATCCGCCGCCCCTCCCCCTTTTCACCCCCGCCCGTTACCGCCATTTTGTTTTCTTATTTATATATATATATATATATGTATGTATACATCTAACTATGTGAGTAGTAGGTATTCCTACCTTAATTAAATTTTGATACTCTCCCCAAGAACAGTGGCGTGTCCGAGGGTACGTGAAGGATGTAGAAGAGAAATGGTCTGTTGAGGACAAGATCCTGGGGTGGCAAGGGTAAACTGAATGCAACAATTGTGATCCCTACAAATCCAAAAACATTTTTCATATTAAATTGTGGCAAAAAATAAAATAAAATGTCGCATGCATTAAATTAAATGTAAACAAAAATAATAATAATAATAATAATAATAATAATAAAGCAAAATGGAGGGAGGAGTGGAAATCGTGGATTCAATATGGCGGAAAGTGTGTGAATCAAATGATATGGAAAAGAGAATTTTTTTAACCTAATTCCAAAGGGAGAAGAAAGAGGAAACGCACAAACGACTGCGGGAGAAAAGGAATACGAATAAAAAATGAAAAAAAAGAAAACGTTCCGGAACGTCGGAAAACCGTTAAATTTAAATTTTCAAAACAAAAAAACCGACTCGACTCGACTTCACGTAATAAAATCTCTCGTTTGTTTGTTTCATTCATGCAAATCGCATTACGAATAATAAACAAAAAAAAAAAGAAAAAAAGAAAACTAATTTAACGTAAAACAAACAAACAAACAAACAAAACATCAAACGGTAAATTAGAGGTGAGAAAGAAAAAAAAAAAAAAAAAATTTAAATGCTCGCTGACCCGACGCGGGAAATTCAAATTTTCCAACGAAACGAAAAACGTTTTTTTAACGGCCATCTTGTTTTTTTTTTCGCTTTTCCATTCGGGATAATATACTTTGAGTGATAATTCATTTATTTGGAAAGAAAAATTCAAAATATAATAATAATAATAATAAAATTAAATATAACGGAACGAAACCACTTTTTTAGTACGCGAAATCGACGTTAGATCGAGCTCTTGGCAAAAAAATTCTTAGAGTAATAAAATCCACGTTGCGAGTACGCAAGACGCGATGCGAAGCGACACGCGGATTCGTTTTTTCCCGCCAAAAACTTTTTTTTGTTTTTTTTTCCCTCCCACGTACACCCAACCTTTTATTTATTTATTTTCTTACATCGCTTCCGTATTAAATTACGGAAAAAAAAATCTAATAAAAAATTTTTAAAAAACCTAATTATCCACGTTTGAATAATTACTACTGCAATCTTCTTTGAAATCTACAAAAAAAAAAAAAAAAATTTCCCCTTTTCTCACCCGCCATTCCTATTATTATAAACCCCCCCCCCCAATAAAATAAAAATTTTTGTCCCCAAAATAATAATAATAATAATAATATTAAATAACTACAAGCTAATAACTTACTTAATATCATATTAATAAATTATATTTTCCGTATAAAAAAAATAATAATAATAATTAAATAAATTATATAAAATAGCATTAAAAAAAATGAATTACGTATCCCCGCGTAACCAAATGAAAAAAAAATCATGTAAATAATAGTAATGATGATAATAATAATGATAAAAATGTCTCATTATCACTCAATTTGTAATTTGACCAAAACTTCCCGAATCGTACAAAAAAAAAAAAAAAAAAATGGCCGTTTCGCTCACCCGAATTACGGCAGCGACAGCTTCAACGTTCGTTATTTGTCGCAAGTTTTCGACAAAAAAAAAAAAACTTAATTTGTGGTTTTTCTTCCTTTTTTTTTAGGATCAGATATCACAACACGTTCGAACGTTTTTTTCTGGGGGGAAGCGGACGGACGGGGGGGGGGACAATCGATAATCTCGTTAAAATTGTCGCCCTTTTTTTTTTTTTTCTCTATCTCTCTCCAAAATGTGACCTTTTTTGTGGTCGTTATCAGAACCCCGAACAAGTGTCTTCTTTAAAAAACGTTCTCCATGATTTCGAATTCGATTTTGATCTTTTCTCAACGGTTTCCATCTTTTCCGACTTTTCCCCGACGACGACGACGGCATCGTCGTCGACGACGTCAGCGCCGACGTCGGCGGGTTTTCCGAAACGTCCGAAAAATAAATAATCGGTTTCGTTCTCCTTGATGAAAAACAAAAACGGATGATCGAGTGTGAGGACTTCGGGTTCGAAAAAATTCGCCGAACGCCTCTGACGGACGTGGCAAGCTGCATAAAATTTTCCAAAATCGTTCAAATAAAATAAAATAATAAAAAAAAAAAAAAGAAAGAAAAGAAAAGAAAAGAAAAGGAAAAAAAACGTGAAAGAAAAATAAAAACAAAACAAACAGTTAAAACAATAGTCGAACAACGACGACAACAACAACAACAACAAATAATAATAATAATAATAAAAGTCGGCCGTTTTCATCGTAATCGATTATTTTGTAACTAATTCGATACTCACCAGTGGCAGCAGCCGCTTCCGAACCTTCTTCGTTCACTTCTATATAAGCTTTTTGTATGGCATCGCTCACGTACAATTCTCTATTATCGCTTATACCGGAAAAATCCGCTTTCGTCGAATCGAACATGTCGTTCAAACCAACCTGAACGTAAAAAAAAAAAAATTATTATCCCTGCTCCCCTTTTCCTTCCCTCCCTCCCCACTCCTCATTTCAATTCCCACCTTTTTCAACGAGCTTCCCAAATTGAGAGTTTGTTCCAATTTGAATTTCGGCATCGTTAAATTCAATTCTTTCGGATAGGCTTCGGATAGGAGTGAGTTCAAATCCATGGCTACCAACTTTTCTTCGACTTGTTTGAGACCTTCGATGGCCGTCGGAACGACTAAAATCATGCTGATGTCGCCCTGGAAAAAAAAACAGACAAACGGTAACGGTGAATCCTGTTCTGTTCTTTCTTTCTTTCTTTCTTTCGCGAACGTCGACCCGAACGTCGGTTTTACCTCGTATTTTAATTCCACGATGCTCGCGTTCAATTCTTCGTGGTGACAATAATTGTATTTTTTAGTTATCGTCATGTAATCGACTTTAACAGTTTCCTTTTCGTTCAAATGAAAATCACCCTTGTACGTATTGTTCGGATCGAATTTGTGAAGCCAGGCACCTTTGAAATAAATCGCATTGACGAGAACCAATCTCGTGAGAGCGTTGAACGCATCTGTCGAAACGAAAAAAAAAAAAAAAACGTTTGACGTCATCGATCATCCGACACCATTTCCGTTTCCGGAAGTATAATTTTTTTTCAACTCTACTTACTCTCGTCGAACAATTTCGGAATTTTATTGTTCGTGTGTTTGTTCACGAATTCGTTTATTTGATTCGACGAATCTTTGCTGTCGCCGAAATCCAATTGTTTAACTTCCGAACGAAAAGACTCCGCGATGGATTTCGTGAACGTCGGTTTGACCGTGTAATCCCTTTGAACGAACATACCGTTCGCCATGTTCAAAGTCACGTTTTTCGATTCCAACAATTTTTGCATTGATTTTTTAAAGGCACTTTCGACGGCTTTTTTATCAGCCGGAAACGACAAATGCTGTTGTAATTCTTTTGCAGTGTTTCCGCCCGCACCTGAATACGTCATTGCGAGTACGACTTGTAATGAATAAGGCGAGAAAAATATATTTCCTGCAAGCAAAAAAAAAAAAACAATGATAATAATGATAACAATAACAACAATAATAATAATGATGAAATTTTTTTTAACAAAAAAAAAAAACGTTCGGCCATAGATTCTCTCTCTCTCTCTCTCTCTCTCTCTCTCTCCTTGAAAGCAAGGAATCCATGTTGGAAATTCTAACTCGACGCCTTTTGATAAGCTATCAGAAAACTACAGAAAGCGAATAAAAAACAAAATTTAACGGCAAAAAACGGGGGGAGGGAGCGGGGGGCGAGGGAGAGAGAGGGAGGGGGAAAACTTGTTTACATAAATTAAATGAGAAAAATAATAATAAAAAAAAAAATATTTTCAAGATGTTTCGACGATACGTTAAAACCATCGAAACTGAAAAAGAAAACATAATAATAATAATAATAATAATAGTTGGGGAAAAAAAATCTTCTGCTTGTCCGATTTGTTTGTTTTCATTTTCATTTTTTTTCTCATTTTCTCAGTTGACCCATTTAGTTCGAATTACGCGGTTATTAAAAAAAAAAAAAAAAAAAATTTTCACGTAACCAATAACAAATTGCGATGGGAATATTAGTAACGTGTCATTAGAAAAATTTTCCCAGAGCGGACGGCACATTACGCATCAGGGAAATTTTTAAATAAACATTATTAACGGATGACAATAATAATAATAATATTACGTAAGATGAAATAAAGAACAAAACACACACACACACACATATTCACGAACACGTTATTATTAATATTTTTTTTATTATTATTATTTCAATTGATTCATTTTCTCATTTTAATTATCACGTTTCGAAACTTGAAAGAAAAAGGAAACAAAAAAAAAAAAAAAATCGCTGTCGGAACAATAGTGAGAGAGAGAGAGAGAGAGAGAGAGAAAGAAATTAAAAATTCGTTATTCGATTTCGAAGAATAATTAATTACGTATAAAAATAAAGAACGAAATAAACTTCATTGCAAAAATCATTATTCTTATTCAGTCAGGAATGAATGACGTCACGAAACAATAAAAAAAAACTGATTTTTTTTGTCTCCCCCCCCCCTTCGATTCTTAAAGGAAGCCCACGCAACAGGAGAAAACGAACGCGGGGGGACGTGACATTTAACGACAGACAAAAAAAAACATTTTTCAAGATACCTGATTACGAATTATAATTAAACGTTTAAAATGAGGGCACGAGGACGTGGTGCTGACAAGGTCTCCCACAGTTTTTCCTTCCGCGCGAGCCCCCCCCCCTCACTTCCTCTCCCCCCGAGAAACGTGATGACAATGGAAAATACAAAGAAAAACATTGTTGAAATATCACGTCGTAAATTAGGGTTTACTCTTTTTTTTTCCGAATTCGACAACGAAAATCTTTTTCCTCCTTTTTACACTTAAATGACACTAAACAACCCGCAGATGACTCCCACACGCGCAACCTTGAACATTTTTTACATTTTTAACCCAGATTAGCAACAGTTGTGATGATGATAATAATAATAATAATAATAATAATAATAATAATAATAATAATAATAATAATAATAATAAAACCTGAATTCGAATGACATAAAAAAAAATTCTACGAAAAAAAAAAAAAAAAAAAAATATTTAATTGGTTTTATCGGTTGACTACTTATCGATCTAATAATAAAAAAAAAAAAAAACCTTATCAAATTTTACAGCGAGATTAAATTAAATCGATAAAAAATAATAATAATAATAATAACGCGGAAATTTCCTTTTTCCCCCCCCTCTTCCTTCCCCTACCCTCCCCCTTCCCCCCAAACGAGAAAATGACTAAAAAATTTTCCTTTTTAAACGCAACGTTTAATCAATCCTATTTTCGTACGTTATTTTCGTTACGAATTCCTTCACAGCAATGATGATGATAATAATAATAATAAACAAAGAAACAAACAAACGGAAAATAGGACGTCGGTCAAATCAAACGGTAGGGAAAAAAAAAAAAAAAATCAAATCAAATAATGGTCACGGCTTATAACCGTTTGTTGGATTTACGTAGCGTGGCTTTAAACGGCAATGAAAATCGTTACTGTTACGAAAAAAGGACGGAGCGAAAACAGAAAGAGACAGAGAGAGAGAGAGAGAGAGAAAATGAAAAGGATTTGAAAAATGAAAAAAAAAAAAAAAATTACGTAATTTATTTTACGAGTTTAAAAAAAAAAAAAAATTAGGTAAAAATCTATAATAAATCATTTTAGTAATAAAATTAACAGGCTCACGATGATGATAATGATAATAATAATCATGATGATGATGATGATAACAAAGAACGAAGCAGAAGAAAAAAAATTAAAGAGTCTGACATGATTTAAGGTTTTAAATAAAATTTTTCATATGTGAGAGACATGTTTATGAAAAAAAAAAATAATAATAATAATAATAAGACGGTGACGTTTCCCAACCGACAAATTAACTAACATAATAATAATAATAATTTTTATTTAAACATTCATTAATAATAATAATAATAAACAATTGAAAATGAAATAAACAACGTCGACAAATGATGGAAACCGTTACGAGATTTTCTTTTAAAAAAAATTAGCATCCGTTTATTTACGCGCGCGCACGCACACGCACACGCACACCCCACCCACGCACAAAGGACTCTTTTCGTTGCTGAGAAAAATTTCGAAAAAATTTTAAACTCTCAACGTGCGTGTATACGCACAAGGAAAATTTCCTTTGATGGGTGGAAAAAAAAAAAGTAAAGGAAAACACGTTTCGAAAAATTTTCCTTTTTCCGTAAACTTTTCCAAATCGTCATCATTTTGTTCACGATGGAATCGTCTGTCAAGGAACGAAACAATCGCGGAATCAAAGATCATGGAAAAAAGACGACAACAACAACAACCGGATACGATTAAAGAAATCAATTTACAAAACAATGTTATAAAGTGCAAGGAAACATTTGTTTTCCTCATTTCCTGTTTGCGTGCGGTAAAGAACAAGAATTTGTCGAAAAAAATTTTTTCGAATCAATTCGATTTAGATCAAACAACAAACGATTCGACACTAATATTTTCTCTCTCTCTCTCTCACACACACAGACACACTCTCTCTCTCTCTCTTTCTCGAAATCTTAATGTAAAATAAATAAATAAATTTTTGTAAAAACTTGCCTTCTGCTTTTCGAAATTCGTTAAACATTTTCGTGGCAAACGAAGTGTTTGCAAAATCATATTCTCCAACTTGTTTTTCCGTCATGACTGAAGTTATGTACGTTATTAAACCGATGCAAACAAAAAGAGCACCTGTAATAGAAAATTAATTAAATATAAATTATTTAATACAAAACAACAAAAGTTCACACACGCACTCGCACGCACACACGCACTGAAATAATAATAATAATAATATTTTTTAAAAAACGCGACTTTTTTAAATTTAAAAAATTTTTTACCAAAACAAATTGTGTAACGGTTACAAATGGCACGTTCGAAATACCCGCAAAACCGGGAGAAAAACATTTTTACCATCGCGAACACGAACTATATATATATTCAATTCAATTCAATTCAATATCGAAAAACCTGGCATGATAATATTAAGAACCTGACTAAGAAAAAACTGTACCGTATTAGGGCTTTTCAACGAATCGCTGAACTGTGTACAACAACATCATCATCGTCATCAACCTTGAATATTAAAAATAAAACGAGCATTTTTTTTTTTTTTTTTTTTCCTTTACTCTGTATACCAAAGACGACGACGACACATTTGACAAAAAAAAATCCTGTCACGTGATTACGCGGAACCGGGAATGAAAGAAAACGACAAAAAAAAAAAAAAATTTCAAAATGTTATTATTATTATTATTATTATCACGTGTTTACCTGTGAAATACCTGCTAAACATGTTTTACAAAAAAAAAAAAAAAACGTTTAATTTTTGTTTGTGGCAAATGTAAATAAACTCTCTTATTATTAATAAAAATAATAATTATTATTATTATTATGTTTTAATAAAAAAATTAATGAAATGTAAAAGAAAGCATGGAAGTTGGCACTGTTTGTACAAAAAAAAAAAAACTATTCGATTCAAACAATACAAGGTTAACTATAATAGTAATAATAATAATAATACTGTTGTATGAACGAACCAGTAAAAAAATTCATAATAACAATAGTAATAATAATAATAATGATAAAATTTATGTTTTTATGAATCATTATTATTATTATTATTATTATGACTACACAAAATGTATTTTTTTTTTTTTTTTTAATTTAAACTCGAGTTTTCTTTCTCTCTCTCTCTCTCTCCTTTCCCTACTTTTCTGTCATTTTTCATTTCACTTTCGATAACTCAATGAAATTAATAAATCAAGCGATTAAAATAAATAGAAATGAAAGAGAGACAGAGACAGAGACAGAGAGAGAGAGAGAGAGGAAAATAAAAAGAGAAATAAAAATTTTTTAATTGCGAATAATAATAAAATAAAATAAAATAAAATTACACACACACACACACACACACACACACACATACACAGACATACATACACACACACATACAGACATACACACAGAGACATACATACACAGACATACACACACACACACACACACACACACACACACACACACACACACACACACACACACACACACACACCACACACACACACATTATATATCTGAACGTTAATTTTGTTCGTTTTATATTTTGCATATTTTCCATATGGCAATTACATAATAATAATAATAAAACGAAAGATTTTTGTCTCAAATCAAACAAATCGAACAATCATCAATCAAATAAAAGTAATTTTAAAAAAATTTTTGTCTCAAATCGAACAAATCAATCTTCATAATAAATTTTACATAATTTTCCATCTCGATATAAATAATAATAATAATAATTTAACTTTATTAGTGAAAACCTATGTTAATTTCAAATGCTATCAATAATTCGATACAAATCGACAATTACTTCAAATCGTATATTATTGCACAACATAATACAATCATTTGTATTTTTTATCTCTCTCTCTCTCTCTCTTACTTTCTCTGTATGTTAGGCTATTAGTTGAAAAATTAATTTAACTAAAATAAAATAAAAACCCCTAAAAAAAAA